CCAAGGGAGGGTTTGGGGGGGTTTAGGAGGGTTTATAGGGGTTTGTGGGGGTTTGGGAGGGTTTATAGGGGTTTAGGAGGGTTTATAGGGGTTTAGGAGGGTTTAGGAGGGTTTATAGGGGTTTAGGAGGGTTTATTAGGGTTTACGAGGGTTTATGAGGGTTTGTTAGGGTTTAGGAGGGTTTGGGGATGTTGAGGGAGTGACCGCGGCTGTTGTGAGGGGGAGGGTTGCTAGGGTTTAGGGTTTAGGGTTTAGGGTTTGGGGGAGACTGGGGGAGGGGTTGCTGGGGTTTGCTAGGGTTTAGGGTTTGCGGGAGAGGGTTTAGGGTTTTAGGGTTTAGGGTTTGGAGGAGAGGCGAGGAAGGGCTTTCAGTCCTCTTCTGTTGGGTTTATTTCTTTTAATTAATTCTTTTATTTATTTATTTTATTTATTTTATTTTATTTATTTTATTTTATTTATTTTATTTATTTTATTTCATTTATTTATTTATTTTATTTATTTATTTTATTTTATTTTATTTTATTTATTTCTCAGGACGGCCGCGTGGAGGATCTGGACGCCGAGGAGGAAGACACGAAGAGTAAGAGCTCTTTGACTTTAATTATTTAATTAATTTAATTTAATTAATTTAATTTAATTTAATTAATTTAATTTAATTAATTGTATTTAATTATATTTAATTCATTTTATTTAATTATATTTAATTTATTTAATTAATTAATTAAATATATTTAATTAGTTACTTGCGGCTGTTTCTAAGGCTGAGGGAAAGCGCTAATTTGCTTCGGCCATTTCACCCAGCCCAGAAAGATGCTTCCGCTGCTGCTGCAGCAGCAGCAGCAGCAGCAGCAGCAGCAGCAGCAGCGTTTGCTGCTGTTGCTGCTGCTGCTTTTGCGGCTTCGTGCTGCTGCTGCTGCTGCTCTGTGGGGACAAACGCAACGCGAAGCAGCCGTGCTGCAGATGATCGTCTGCAGCAGCTCTTTCGAAACTCACCGCTGCTGCTGCTGCTGCTGCTGCTGCTGCTGCTGCTGCTGCTGTTTGCAGAGAAGGGGAAGGTCAGCAGCAAGAAGGGCGCAGCAGCACTGAAGGCGCTGCAGGCTGCTGCAGCAGATGACGACGACGACGAGGACGACGAAGAGGTACATGCTGCTGCTGCTGCTGTTCGTGCTGCTGCTGCTGCTGTTCGTGCTGCTGCTGCTGCTGCTGCTGCTGCAGTGGTTGTGGGGTGTTGGGGTGTATGTACAGGACGACGAGGACGACGAAGAGGACGACGAGGAAGGCAGCGAAGAAGAAAGCGGAGAAGAAGAAGAAGACTCTGAAGAAGAAGAAGAAGAAGCTCCGAAGCAGCAGCAGCAGCAGCAAGACAAGAAGCGGAAGCAGCAGCAGCAGAAGCAGCAGCAGCAGCAGCCCAACAAGAAGGGTGCGTCTGTGCTGCTGCTGAACACTTTCCTTAATAGCTGCCCTTCCCAACACTAATTATAAACCCACCTCCAGCTGCTGCTGCTGCTCCTCCCCAGCCCCTCCCGCTGCTGCTGCTGCTGCTGCTCCTCCCTAACCCCTCCCGCTGCTGCTGCTGCTGCTGCTCCTCCCCAACCCCTCCCGCTGCTGCTGCTGCTGCTCCTCCCCAACCCCTCCCGCTGCTGCTGTTGCTGCTCGTGCCCAATCCCTCCCGCTGCTGCTGCTGCTGCTGCTCGTGCCCAACCCCTCCCGCTGCTGCTGCTGCTGCTGCTGCTGCAGCAAAGAACCAGGCGGGGGAGGCAGCGGCGAGCAGCAGCGGAGACGAAGCAGCTTACCGGAACGCGCTGGTGGACTTCTTGAAGAAAAACGGGCCGACGCCGTTGGCGTCTTTGGGGCAGAAAGTGAAGAAGCCTTCGAGTCTTCCGAAGATGGCGGCTTTCTTGAAGGCGAACGCGGACAAGTTCGCGGTGGAAGGGGGGAAATGCTCGTTGAAATGAGCGATTTGGAAGCTTTTTGCGGCTCATTTGCGTTATAAATGCATTATTATTGCTTTATAATTGCAAAGAAATGCATTTGCAATTTGAATTCCCGAGGATCGCACGAGATCGGCACGGAATCCAGCGGCGCGCGCCGGGTGTACCGACACCTCGCACACTACCACCAACATTAATTCTTCCATTTGATCCATTTCTATTTCTATTTCTACTTCTCGGAAATTAAGACATTTCTGTTGTTTAGAGTCAATTCAACTTTCTCCTAACGCCCGGGACCGCGGCGCAGCACCAGCAGCAGCAGCAGCAGCAGCTGCTGCTGCTGCTGCTGCTGCTGGTCTCAGGGTTTTTCTCTTTCCTAACTGCCAAGTGGCTCTTTCTTTCTTGTCGTTTCACTTCGAGTTCCCCAACTGCATTACTGCAGCAGCAAATCTATTACTAGCAAAGTAGAGGCAGCTAGCTAGCAGCAAGTAGCATTCTTTCTGCAGCAGCAGCAGCAGCAGCAGCAGCTGCTGCTGCTGCTGCTGCTGCAGAGCGTCGTATCTGTGTGTGTGTGGGAAAGCCAAAAGAATAAAAAAGTTAGTGGACTATTGTTTGCCAGAAAATAAATTTGCGAGCCTTCGCGTCTTGCTGCTGCCACAACAACAACAGCAGCAGCAGCAGCAGCAGCAGCAGGACAACCTGCTGCTGCTGCTGCTGCAAGCCTGCGATATGCGATAACGGCGCCGGCGCCTAAATAAATAAACAACAACCCCCCCCTTCAAAACCACAACCACCATTCCCTCCCCCTCCCCCTGCTGCTGCTGCTGCTGCTGCTGCTGCTGCTGCTGCTGCTGCAGCAGCAGCTAGGGAGCTTGCTGGGAAGCGAGGACGAGGGGCGGGCTGTGGGGGAAGACAGCGCCTCCCCAGGAGATGTCGAAGGAGACTTTCGGGAGATCTGGAGGAACTCCAAGAGCGTCGAGATCTGCAAAGCTGTTGTCCGTTTGGAAGAAGTCCGGAGGAGAAGGAAGTTTGGTTTGCTGCTGCTGCTGCTGCTGCTGGAAGTTGTTTGCTGCTCGCTGCTGCAGCGCCTGCTGCAGCCTGCGGCGCTGCTGCCACCAGCGCTCGAAGGGGCTGCGGGCCCAGCGGGCGAAGCGCGAGAAAAGACTCTTCAAGTTCATTTCGAACTGCAGCAAAACTTGAAATTCACTTTTCAAAATATTCCAAACACTAAAAGCCACCATTGGCCAAACTAAATAAGGAGTTAAAACCCCAAAAAGCCCCACTTTGAAGACATCTGCTGCTGCTGCTGCTGCTGCGCTGCGCACCGCAGGGGCCACTGCAGCAGCAGCACAAACGGGCCCCACAACCAAGTTGTCCAGACACTCCGCAGCAGGCCCCAGCCCCGCGTCGCTCAAGTGCTGAGTTATGTCGGAGACAGAAATAAAAGTATATGCAAAGAAAAGTCCCAAAGACAAAAAAGAAATAATAGCTTTTCTCCGAGCCTGCTGCTGCTGCTGCTGCCACTGCAGCACGAAGTGCCCCATGTAGGGCGCCTGGAAGGCGAAAAATGCGGCTAAGTTCGCGCGGCCCAAACTGCTGCTGAGCTTTGCTGCCAGCAGCAGCGAATAGGCAAACCAAGTGCCGCCTCCGAACTTCATTTTTTGGATGTTTCTTTTGGACTTTTTGTCGATTATATTTTCAAAGAAGTCCGTTTGAACGTTAAGTCCGAGGCGGAAGCTGTTGACTCTGCGGGGGTCCGAAAGAGCAGCAGCAGCAGCAGCAGAACTCATCTCTTTTTCGTAATCATTCCACTTTTTGGGGTTTTGCAAACTACTAAAAACTAAAGAAGTCACCAAACCCCACAAAGACTCGCAGTGGTCCATGCACATGCTTTGCTGGAACTCTTGCTGCTGCGCTGCAGCACCGAGCGCAGCAAACTCGGGGTGCAGCGTGAGAAACCCCGCGCTGCGCCTTGCTGCTGCTGCTGCTGCGCTGCTGCTGCTGCTGCTGCTGCTGCGGGCTGCTGCAGCAGCAAGGTCGAAGCCGGGGACGCGCCGCTGGTTCTGCAGACTGCCGAGCACTGCGTCTTTGACTATTTCCAGAAAAGCCTCTCGGAAGTGCTCGAAAAGCCCCGAAGTCTTCGCCACTTCTGCTGCTGCATGCACTGCATGCAGCACCCGCAGCACGCGGTCTGCATGCACCTTCACCCCCATCCAAACAGCAAACTGGCTTTGCTGCGGGGCCCGCAGCAGCGCGCGGAAGAGGGCCCCCGCGGCCCGCAGCGGCTGCAGCAGCGGGGGGCCCCCCCGGGGGGCCCCCGCGATCTGGCCCAGGAAGAGGGTGGAGTCCAGCTCGGCCTCGAGCCGCTCGCGGCTTTGCTGCACCAGCAGCGCCACGGGGTCTTTTGCTGCTGCTGCTGCTGCTCCGTAGGGGTGCTGCAGGTAGGCCTGCAGCGCAGCAAGCCACTGCCGGTTCAGCTGCTGCTCCCACTTGGTCAAGTCCGGAGTCGGGATCTGCTCGAAGTACACAGTCTTCGGCAGCTTCCCCCCCTTCCGCAGCTGCTGCAGCAGCGCAGCAGGAACTCCGAACTCCGCCCACTCCCCCAGCTGCCGGTCCGTCTGCTTCACCAGCCCGCCCCGCGGCAGCTGCGCGCCTGCTGCTGCTGCTGCTGCTGCTGCTTCCCCCCGCAGCCGCCGCGCACTCAGCTCCAACTCGTGGTACATGTCGCTGTTCTGGTTCACCTGCAGCGCCGCCTGCGTGTGCACTATCCACTCGAAGGAAGTCAGCAGCAGCGGCAGCACCGACGGGTCCAGGCTCTCCAGCAGCACTGCAGCACAGCAGCAGCGCGCAGCAGCAACTCGCGGTGACCCGCGGCCGCCGCCGGAAAGCGGGGGAAAACCAAAAGGACTTCCCGAAATTTCGAAAACTTTAAATAATTTAATTAAAATTGACTCTTCTCGCCAGATTTCAAACTCTGAAGGCCCGGATTCCCTCCGGATTCCCCCTGTTCACATTCCGCGCGCTCCCGCAGCAGCAGCGGCGCGAGCGCCCACGCGGCCTTGTGTCTGGACAGCGTGAAAGTGAAATAAATCAAATTTAATTAATTAAATTAATTAATTAAATTAAATTAAATTCCTCACGTTGTTTGGCTTTTGAAATCGAAGACTTTCTCTTAAAGCCCTGCAAAACTCTCTTCAGAATCGACGGAGTCCACGACGAGCCCAGCAGCCGGGTGGTCAGCTTCGTCTTGCTCACCGCCGCGTGCTGCTTGTCGTGCGTCTTCGCGGGATCTGCAAATTCAAAGTTCAAAACAACAAATATTTCCAAAATAATTCCAAAATAATTCCAAAATAATTTCAATTCAAGTCATCAGAAGTTATTTCCACGCAAAGCCACCAGCAGCAGCAGCAGCAGCAGCAGCAGCAGCAGCAGCAGCAGCAGCAGCAGACCGCTTCCGAGGAGGACGAATCTGTAGAGGAAGAGGTAGTTGTAAGTGAGGGGGTCGAAAGAACACATGTTGAGCAAAGCAGGGCCTTTTCGAGTTCGGAAAAAAGCCATTAAAGTCCGCTGCAGCGGCGCCTGCCGCCGCCCTGAAGCTGCTTTTGCCTTGAACATGAATTGCGAAAAACTCTCCAACTTGGCAGCAAAAGAGCTCGTCATGTCGCACGCCAGAGTGCCTGAACGCCACACCCGCAAACGCCTTTTAAAGCCCACTAATCGCATGCAAAATGCATGCAAAACGCATGCAAATCGCATGCAAAACGCATGCAAAACGCATGCAAAACGCATGCAAAATGCATGCAAAACGCATGCAAAACGCATGCAAAAAGACCGCAAAATGAGGCAAAACGGAATTCAGTGCCGTAATGCGAGTTCAGCTGCGTTTCTTGCATGCGTTGCATCTTTGAAATCCTTTTTGTTTGTTTAAATGCAAATTATTTTGCATTTAAATAAAGGTTTGAATTAAACTTTATTTATTTTGTTTAAAGATTTGAAATAAACTTAAATGCGCAGAAGACGCACTCTTGAGCAGCAGAGTTGCTGCTGTTGGGAAAAGGTTCTTTTTTGCTGCTGCTGCTCCCTTTTTGCCCGTTTGGCTGCCAGCAGATCTTTGAACTTCCTCGTAAGCTGCTGCAGCTTCCGAGATGGGAACTGCAGGCTTTCCGGCCAAAGCTGCGATTTTTTTTGCATCTGAAGACCAAAAAAGGATTTAAAATCAATTAAATGATTCAAAATTCAAAAAACGAACAATTTTCATGCAAGATTCGCAAGAAATGCAGCAAGAGCGACACTCCGCTTCTTCTTCGCCAAACAAATTAAATGAAATGAAATTAAATTAAATTAAATTAATTCTTTTATTTTCATTTATTTTAATTTATAAATTTTCATTTGTTCTTCTTCTTACTCGCTTCGAAACTCTTGATCAATTTGCTTCTTTTCGACGCCACAAACTCTCTGTTGTCATAGTGGAACACTTTTTCGAGAACTGAAAACAGAAAGCAGATCAATTCTTTCAAAAGTTTATTTATTTATTCATTTAAATCATTTAAACGCTAAAATAAAATAAAAATTAAACTCTATTTCGTGTTTTGTTCTTGCATGCGCGTACATCCCGAAATAGCCTCTCCTCTCAGGAGCACTGCAAATGCGAAGACCACTATTCATATTCTGCTCAGAATTCTCATTTTGACTGATTCATGGCTCGTTTTTCTCCATTTTTTCTGATTTCATTTAATTATAATTCAGAGAGGTCTCGTGCTTTTCTCTGTGTCGTGATTCTGCGTTGAAAGAGCTGTTTGTCGCCGCTTTCCGCGTTGAAAGTGCTGCTTGTTGCTGCCACTTTGTTGCTTCTTTTTGAAAACAAAACTCACTGTCGCTGTGCGCCGTCGGCTTGGAAATGATTTCGAGCCACTGGTCAGCGCGGACGTCGTAGTACTTGGCGCCGGTTTCTTCGAGGAGCTTTCCGAGTTGCGCGCTGGCTGCGTTGGAAAGCAGCAAAAAAGAAACAAATTAAATTAAATAAATTAAATCAACTAAATAACTTAAATCAATTAAATAAATTAAATCAATTAAATGAGAAGAGGGAAGCGCGAGTCAAAGGCACTCCGGCGAATTCTTCAATTTTTGCAAAAACGGAATTCAACAACGCCCGAAATTCAGCTTTCCGAAACTGCTGCTGAAGTTGAATTCCGCAGCGCTGGCCCTGCCTGCGGGATCTCTGGGTGAGTGTTTGAGAAAATGAGTTAAATAACTTGAATTTAAATTGAATTTTAATTTAATTAAATATTTTCAAAGTTATTCCGAAGTTTCAGCAGCAGGCGCGGCTCACCGAGCCCGGCGTAGAGGTTGAAGGCGGCCCGGGTGTTGGTGTTCTGGTCCTGCACCTGGGGGTCCAGGGGATTTGCAATTGGACTTAAAATGGAGTTTTCGAATTCGCAAACTGGAGCTCCTCCTCTGCAGGTTTTCGTTTGAATTCGCGAAGCATTAGTGGCCGGATCCACCAGCGGCTCCACCGGCAGCGAGAACTTGAGCATTTCCTGTTGAACTTCTTCTTGTTCTGCGGTCAAACAGCGGAATCCGAGGTTCAATTGGCATTAAATGCATTTATTTTCACTCCCGCAGCAGCAAAACGGCAACACCGCTCCAGATTCCCGGCTAATCGCGCAGCTTTCCACTCCGCCGCCGCGCCTGCAGCACCCCGCAGCAGCAGCAGCAGCAGCGGCAGCAGCAGCAGCAGCAAGGGCTCACTGAGCATGAGGGCGTTGAGAATCATCTCTGTGGCGTCGCAGTAGGCCCTGAGGAGCTCGGGCTGCTGCTTGTTTCTGTGGACTCTGGAGGCGCCGCGGACGAACCAGGGGCTGCTGCTGCCGCGCTTCCGCGGCTTCCCGCCCCGCCCCTTGGGCTTGTACTTCCCCAGCAGCGGCCCCGCCAGCCGCGGGCCGCGGTCTCTGTCGCACATCTCGTCCAGCATCCCCACGGCGCCTTCGCCGCCAGCAGCAGCGGCCAAGCTGGTGAAGCTGTAGAAGGCCTTCCGCGCGCCTTCCCCGAAGAAGGCCTCCCGGTCGATGTGCGCTATCAGCAGCGTCAACACGTGGCCCAAAACTGCAGCAGCAGCAGCAGCAGCAGCAGCAGCAGCAGCAGCAGCAGCAGGCGATTCGCGAGAACGACGACATAACTTACGCTCCTGCTAAGCAGCAGCAGCAGCAGCAGGAGGAGGAACGACAGCAGCAGCAGCAGGAGGAACAAGAACAAAAACAGGAGCAGCAGCAGGAACGAGAAGAAAAACAGCAGCAGCAGCAGCAGCAGCAGCAGCAGCAGCGTACTGAGGGGGTTTGAGGCGAGGAGGAAGGGCTCGAGGCCCCCGAACATGGGGACGATAGGGGAAGCTGCTGCTGCTGCTGCTTCCTCTTTGACGTTTCCAATGCCAAGAGCTGTTGCAACAAGTTCGAGGACTTCTGCTGCTGTCAGTTTTTCGTTCAAGAAAATCCCCGGCTGCCCCAAGAGAGCAGCAAGTTTGCAAGTCATGAGGACTTCGACGCGATTCGCGAAGACTCTGTCGACAGTTTCCTGGTACCTGAGTGCTGCTGCTGCTGCTGCTTCCTCGCCTGCTGCTGCTGCTGCAGCGCCTGCTGCAGCAGCAGCAGCAGCAGCAGCAGCAGCAGGCGAGGCCCCGCCCTCGATGTTGGCCCGCGTCGCCACCGAGCGCGCGTAGCTCATGTCCGGAGCCGCCATTTGCTGCTGCTTCAGCTCTTCTTCAATTGCTGCTCTTTGGCTTTCTGCTGCTGCTCGAAAGTTCCTTTCTGCTGCTGCAGCAAACCAAAATGCTTCCAAGTAACTCCGCCGGTCGCTCGCCAGGGGAATCATGCACGACTTCTCCACCAGCGCTCGCGCTGCGCACATCGCAACGCAGCAGCAGCAGCAGCACAATTCCCCCTGCTGCTGCTGCTGCTGCAGCTGCTGCTGCAGCAGCAGCAGCTGCAGCAGCAGCTGCTTCTGCTGCTTCTAGGTCTGCGCAGCGAGCGGCGCAGCGTGCCACCACGCCAGCGGCAAAAACAGCAGCGGAGGCAGCGGTGGCTAAACAACAGCAGCAACAATAACAGCAGCAGCAGCAGCAGCAGCAGCAGCACAGCAGCAGCAGCAGCAGCAGCAGCAGCAAAACTGACTTCGGAGTTTTTTGACGAGGGCCTGGCTGCGGAGGGCGTTGTTGAGCTCTTCAGCGTTGAGGGCCTGCAGACTTGCTGCTGCTGCTGCTTCGGGGACCCAGCCAAAAAGGACTTGGGATTTAGAAATGGGGTTTGCAGGAGTGGGGGGAGTTGGCAGCTCGTAGATGCCTTCTGCTGCTGCTGCTGCTGCTGCTGCAGCAGGGGGCCCGCTGCTGCGCAAGGTAGCAGCAGCAGTCACCGAGTAGCCTCCCGTGGCCCCTGTGGGGCCCGCGAAGCTCATGGTGGAGCCCCAGGGGCCCTGCTGCTGCTGCTGCTGCTGCTGTTGCTGCTGCTGCTCTCTGAGGACCTGGACGTGCAGAGAGCCGCCCGAGGGCAGCGTGAAGCTGGTGGAGCCCTCTGCTGCTGCTGCTGCTGCTGCTGCTGCTGCTGCGTGGGGGCTGAGGAGAGTTGGGCTGGCGGCGGCGCACAGCAGCGCGCCCGACAGCAGGCGGGAGAAAACCCCCATGGTTGAAAAGCGGAACTGACTTTCAAGTTCGAAGCCTCATAAAGACAAAAGAGTCCGCAGCAAGAAAGCTTTGCTGCAGCAGCAGCAGCAGCAGCAGCAGCAGCTTTGCAGCGCGCAGCAGCAGCAGCAGATCGATGCAGCAGCGGCGCGCGCAGCGTCAGGCGGCGCACGGACACGCAGTTTCCGGAATCCGGCGAGCAGCAAACGGAAATCGCAAATTAAATCCTAATTGCAAACGAATTTAATCATTTTAAATGCGAAAAGAAGCAAAAAAGAAGCAAAAGAAGCAGCTTTCCCGGCGAAGTGCTGCGATTGGCGCGCAGCGAGCAGCAGACGCGAGGCCGCTGGCTGGGCTGTCGGCGACGGCTTTCCTGGCCAAAGCCTCTTCAGAAGTCCTTCGCAAGACAAAAGTCAAACTCTAATAAATGAAAAACAAAAAACGCCGCAAAAAACTGAAGACTGTCACTTCTGACGCTGCCGCCCGCCCGCCGCCGCGGCCTGCGAGAAGAGGGCTTGGCGCTCGGGTGTACGTACAGCTGCGGTCCGAGTGCCCTCTCCGCCGCCGCCGGCTTCCCTTTTTCCGCATTTAAATCTTTTCTGTCTTTTAAATGCAATTTCTTTTTATATTTCTTTGCAAAAATCCCGCCAAAAAATCCCTAACTGCCTTTTCCCCGCAGGTCCACTGGCTCGCCGCGCGCCGCCGCCGACCGCCGCGCGCAGCCGCAGCAGCTGCTGCTCCATCTTCTCCGCATTTAGCCTCTTTTTAGGCTTTAAAAACAATTTATAAAACTCTATTTTGCAAATCGTTGCAAATTTAATTCTTTTTAGCCTCAGAAAAACCCAAAGACGCCAAAACCCGCCTCCGCCCCACCCGCCCGACGCGCGCACCGCCCAGTCCGCCGCGTCAGGGCCAGACCACCGCAGAAACACCACTCTTCTCGCCCCAAACCCTAAACCCTAAACCCTAAACCCTAAACCCTAAACCCTAAACCCTAAACCCTTCGTTTTACTATCCAGTCTTCGAATTTCAAGCCGTGTTCCGCGGTGTACGTACACCTCGTTCGCCTGCTGCTGCACTGCCGCCGCAGCTGCTGCCGTGACACTCCAAGTTTTGAACTCTAAGAAGTCTGAAGTCCACACGAAGCTCCAGGGACCCCAAATTTAGGGTTTAGGGTTTAGCGTCTAGGGTTTAGGGTTTAGGGTTTAGGGTTTAGGGTTTATAGGGAGCCAGCGAGCCCCTGCTGGTGGCTTCTGGGGGACTCTCAGCTGCTGCAGCGCTGAAGGGCCCTCTAGGCTTCAGCAAACAGCTAGCTGAAGCAGCAAACTTCTTACCCCACCAAACCCTAAACCCTAAACCCTAAACCCTAAACCCTAAACCCTAAACCACCTGAAGCGGCCGACGGGGAGCCTTGCGAGTGTTTTGCTGCTGGCATTTTTAGACTCATTTTTGTTTTTTTAAATATCTTTTGCTGCTTTAAATCGAATTAATTTTCTCTAAGTTTTAATAAATCCAAATGAAGAACTTTTAAAACAAATTAATGAACAAAAAGCCGCTGGCTAGCTAGCTAGCTGCTCACACAAGACCTGCAGCTTCCCAGCTAGCTAGGACACTGGCAGCTAGCCAGCTAGCCAGCTAGCCAGCTAGCTAGCTAGGTAATTAGCTAGCTAGCTAGCCAGCCATCTAGTTGGCTAGCTATCTAGCTAGGTAATTCGCTAGCTAGCCAGATATCTAGTTAGATAGCTAGCTGGCTAGCTAGCTAACTAGCTAGCCTGCTGTCCAGTTAGCTAAATAGCTAGCTAAGCGGTTAGCTAGCTAACCAGCTATCTAGTTAGCTAGCTGGCTAGCTGGTCAGCTAGCTAGCTAGGTAGCTAGCTAGCTAGCCAGCTAGCTATGTGGTAGTTGCCTCCGTTTGAGGCCACAGATGAAGTATTTAGCTGCAGCACTAGCAGCAGCAGCAGCAGCAGCAGCATTAGCAGCAAAAAAGCAAAAGTAAAGAAACAAGAAGTATTTATAATTATTTTTAAAGTTATTAATGGGATGTTGTCTTATATATGTATATATATAATATTATATATACATATATAATATATATAAATGGAAAACAGCAAAAGAGGGAAAAGCGAAGCAGCAAAAGAGAATAAATAAAACAAAAGAAGATCTGCGAAAATATTTGAAGCTTATTTTGCTGCGGTGTATCTTCTGCTTGGGGTGTACAGACAGCGGGTGCTCTTCGCCTCTAAGGCGGGAGAAGATAAAAGTGTTGAAATGGGCGTTTTGGAGAGTTAAAAGAGATGAAAAGGGTTTAAATTAGTGAAATTAATTAATTTAAAATTAATTAATTTATTCATTTCAAATTTAAAGTCTTTTTTCCCGTTGTTTGGTCCCTCTTGCTCCCAATTCAACTTCAAGGCGGGACAGCTGCTGGGAGCCTGGGGGTGCACGTGAATCCGCGCAAAGGCGGAAAGTTGCGGAAAATGCGTTTTTTGGATTTGAAAAGAATAAATTTAAATAAATAAAATGAAAAAAATGACTTAAAGGAGTTTTAGAGGACAGATCGCGCTGGAGATATAGAAGAAGCTGCTGCGCAGTCGCAGCGGCGCTGCTCGCGCTTCCCCCGTGGTGGCTTTTGCTGCAGTCGGCTGCTGCTGAGTTGAAATGAATATTCCGCAGTCGAAAGCTCTTTTAAATAATTGCAAAACAATTAAAAGTGTTATTTCAAATTCATTTCGCCTTTTGCCGCCGCCGCCGTTTCAGACCAGTAAGCCGCGGGGGTGTGCATACACCCGAACGCGTTGAAGCGTCTGCAGCTTTTCCGCGGGTCGTTTTGAATTATTTCGACGAAATAAAAAATCAAAAAGACTTTAAAGTGAATTAATTTGCTTTTTAGCTTCGAATCGGCGTGGATTGGTGCAAGAAAGGCCTGAGGTTCCTCCGCAGCTGCCTCGCGAGGTCACCGGCGGCTGCGGCAGCAGCAGAAAGCGAGTGGAAAGAGCAGCAAATTCGCATGCAAGCGAGTTTTAGAATTGGAATTTGTTTTTGAATTTGTTTTTGAATTTGTTTTTGAATTTGTTTTTCCTTTTTTAGTGGCGCGTGAGTTCGAGACCCGCCTGTTCATCGGCGGCGAGTTCCGCGAAGCCCGCGGCAGCAAGACCTGGACTCTGATAAATCCGGCGACGGAAGAACCCACTTGCGAAATCCGAGAAGCCAGGCAAGTCCCCAGTGGTCCACTGGACCACTTGGCAGTTTTTTGGCCTCCCAAAAGGTCCACTGGTCCATCAGTTTCGCGTGGGCGTTTCTTGGGGTGTACGTACACCGCAGCGCGGGCGCTGGGGTGTACGTACACCCGAAGAAGCCGGGGTGACCAGTGGTCGATTTTTTTTGTTTTTTTCGTTTTTGGGGTTTTCTGGGGCCGCGAAGTTCGCTGCTGCTGCTGCTGCTGCAGCGCGGGGTTTGCTGCTGCTGGAATTTGCAAAAGTTGGACTTTTTTGCTGCCAAAAGCTGCACTTTTTGCTTCCAATGCAGCGAAGAAGACGTCGACGAGGCCGTGCGCTGCGCCCACGCGGCCTTTCCCGCCTGGGCGCTGGGCGTGGGCGCGCGCCGCCGCGGCGATTTGCTGCTGCAGCTGGCGGATTTGCTGCAGCAGCAAAAAGAAGAAATTGCCGAAATCGAATGCATCAATGTTGGAAAACCCATTCAGTTCGCCAGGTAACACTGCTGCTGCTGCTGCTGCTGCTGCTGCTGCTGCTGCTGCTGCTGCTGCTGCTGCTGCTGCTGTTGCTGCTGCTGCTGCTGCTGCTGCTGCTGCTGCTGCTGCTGCGAAGCAAAAGCAGGCAACAAGCAGCCCAGCAGCCCCCCCAAATCACCTAATCAATTAACAAACCAATTAATTAATTAATTAATTAATTAATTAATTAATTAATTAGTTAATTAATTAATTAATCAATTAATTAATTAATTAATTAATTAATTGCGCAGAGCCGACGTGGAGACCTGCATCGCGAACCTGCGTTACTACGCGGGCTGGGCGGACAAAATAAGAGGCGGGGCTTACATTCCAGTTCGCGACAAAAATAAAATCTCCTGCCACACTCGCAGAGAACCCGTCGGAGTCGTCGCGGCCGTGAGCTGTACAGACACCCCGCGCGCATGCACGCGTCGTCAGCTGTACAGACACCCCAGTTGCATGCGCTCATGAGCTGTGCAGACACCCCAGTTGCATGCGCTCATGAGCTGTACAGACACCCCAGTTGCATGCGCTCATGAGCTGTATAGACACCCCAGTTGCATGCGCTCATGAGCTGTATAGACACCCCACTTGCATGCGCTCATGAGCTGTATAGACACCCCACTTGCATGCATGCATCATTAGCTGTATAGACACCCCACTTGCATGCATGCATCAGCTGTACAGACACCCCACTTGCATGCGCTCTTTAGCTGTATAGACACCCCACTTGCATGCATGCATCATCAGCTGTACAGACAGCTGAGGCGTAGGCCCAGCTGAGCTGTACAGACACCCCAGATGCACTCCCGAGCTCCACATACACCCCAGGTGTACATACACCTGAGCTGCACATACACTCCAGGTTTACATACACCGGAGCGTTCCGCGCAAACGCTCCCGCCTCCACCCCACCCCTGCTGCTGCTGCTGCTGCTGCTGCTGCTGCTGCTGCTGCTGCTGCTGCTGCTGCTGCTGCTGCTGCTGCTGCTGCTGCTGCTGCTGCTGCTGCTGCTGCTGCTGCTGCTGCTGCTGCTGCTGCTGCTGCTGCTGCTGCAGATAGTGCCTTGGAACTTCCCGCTGATGCTGCTGGTGCTGAAGGCGGCGCCCGCGTTGGCCTGCGGCTGCACTATGGTGGTCAAAACCAGCGAAAAGTCGCCGCTTTCTGCGCTGGCTTTTTGCAAACTTGTTCAAAAAGCTGTAATTCTTTTGTTTTTTGTTTATTTATTTGTTTATTTATTTATTTATTTATTTATTTATTTATTTATTTGTTTATTTATTTGTTTT